ACACATACATACACACAGTCATACACACCACATAGTCACATATACATACTCACACACATACATACACACAGTCACACATACACACATACATACAGTCACACATACTCAGAGTCACATACACACATACACCACAGTCACACATACACACACACTCACACACATACATACACAGTCACACACACACATGCATACACACAGTCGTCACACACACATAGACACATACATACACACAGTCATATATACTCACAGTCACACACACACACACACACACACCACAGGGCCGTGGCTTGGCCTTTTCTCTCTAGGCTCAGAGGTTTTCAAGCAGGAAGCTCCTCTCTTAAAGCCCTCTCATCCCACAGGGACTTCAGCCCTACTTGCACAGGAGCAAACCAGTGGATCTTTAGGAGAAGGTAGGCCTTTGCCCTCAGCCCTTCCTTCCAGGCCTACTGAGCCACAAAGTAGGATGGTCCAAGACCACCATTCTTCTTAGCTTTGATTGTCAATTTGACATAGCTTAGAGTCATTTGAGAAGAAAGCCTCCATTGAGGAACTGCCTAGGTCAGATTGACCTATGAATATCTTCATTGGGAATTGTCTTGATGTCGGTGGGCCCAGCCCACTGTGGGTGGCACCATTCCCTGAGCAGGCTGCCCTGAATCGAATAAGAAAGCTAGTTGAGCATGAGCCTGTGGGGCATGTGTCCAGTAGACTTCCTTCATGGTTCCTATCTAAAATCCTCCTTGAGTTCCTGCTCTGACTTCCCTCACAGATGGCCTGTGACCTGGAAGTATAATCAAATAAATCCTTTCCTCCCCTAAGTTGGTTTGGGTCAGAATGTTATCAGAGCAACAGGAAATAGAACAGGACAACCTCTCACTCAGGCTTCTAGCTTTGGGCCCTCTGAGGAGCCAAGAAGCTGCACCAGAAATGGGCTCCGAGGCCCTCTGGGTCTTTGCAGTCCCTGGGCTGGGTCTTTGCAGTCCCTGGGCTGTCCTTCTTTGTCATCTGACCTATTTGGCTTCTTGCAAGCTGTTTTCATCCTGACTGTTGGCTCAGAGATGTTCAGAATAAAGAAGCACACCTGGCCCCATTAAGTGAGTCTCTGGGAATCACCACCACAGATAGGCTTGAGAGTGTGTCTGCACAGTTCTGTGCTCCCCAGTGTGCACCCACATAACCGGGGCCCACCTGCCTACTCACCATACCCCGTTCTAGGTGTTCTACTCCACACACCCTCATCCCAGGGAGATTGACAGGGCTACATGGAGTCATGTGTGCTCTCAGAGTGGCCTGTTCTGTCCTAGCTGGCCTTTAGTTATGTTTTTCCCTCCAAAAAATGTTTGACCTGGAAACTAGGAAAATAAAGTTGCCTTGTAGCATGTGTGGTGACCCAAGAGTGACCCCAGTACTAGAAGGCTAAGACAAGAACAAGTGCAGGGCCAGCCTGGGCTGCATAGGCAAACCTTGTCTCAAAACAATACACAAAACAGGGTACTGGGTTCCATTCTCCTTTCAGCCTTCCAGTGCTGACACAGAGGCTCACAATTGCCTGTGACTCTAGTTCCAGAGGATCTGAATCCCCATGGGTGCTCATACACACATGGTACACACACACACACACACACACACACCACATAATAAGCATATGTAATAATATATAACAAACAGTATATAAGCATAATAATACATCTTTTCTATTAAAAAGGTTATTTGCCTTGACAAATGGAAGACCAGCAGGCAGGGTGTCTTAGGGTTTCACCGCTGTGAAGAGTCACGAGGACCACGGCATCTCTTATGAGGGAAAACATTTAATTGAGGCTGGCTTACAGTTTCAGAGGTTCAGTCCATTACTATCATGGTGGGAAGCATGGCAGCGTGCTGGCAGACACGGTGCTGGAGGAACCAAAAGTTCTGCATCTTGATCTTAAAGCAGCAGGAGACTGGATCTATTTCACACTGGGTGTGGTTTGAGTAAGAACTCAAAGCCCCGCCTCCACAGTGACACACTTCCTCCAACAAGGCCATGCCTCCTAATAGTGCCACTCTCTGTGGCCGAGCATTCAAGTACATGAATTTATGGGGACCAAACTTATTCAAACTACCACACAGAGGGTGTTTCTTGGGACTTGGGGCAAGGTCATATCGCCTCCTCTTCCGCCTTGAGTTTAGGGGACTGCGCAGGAAGTTAGAAGATAAAGATGTGGGAAATTATCTAGGTGGGTCCTGGTGGGACACTGAAGTAACTAAACCTATCAGCTTAACAGCATCTACTGAGCACGGCTGAGACTGGGTTTAACTGAGGCGGGAAGACCCATCTTCCCCTCCCCCCTTCTCTTCGCCCCCTTCTCTTCGCCCGATCGCTCCGGCCCCCGATCGCTCCGGCCGAAAGATATATTTATTTATCATATGTAAGTACACTTCAGATCTTATTACAGATGATTGTGAGACACCATGTGGTTGCTGGGTCAGGACCTCCAGAAGAGTCAGTGCTCTTAACCGCTGAGCCATCTCACCGGCCCGAGAAGACCCATCTTGAACGAGGGTGGTACCAGTACTTTAGGCCGAGGTCTCTGGTACCTGACTGGAGACGCGATGTGACCTCAGTCTAAGCTCCTGCCAACGTAAGTTCTCTGCCATCATGGACAGTACCCATAACCGTGAGTCACCTTTTCTTCTTCAGTTCCCTTTGTCAGGTAGTTTGTCATAGCAACAAGGGAAGTAACTAATGCAGGGCCAGAAAGAATTGGCTACTCCCCACGTGGCAATGATTTCCCCCTCCATCCCTTAGCAGGACAGGCTAGGGTGAAGTGGAAGGGAGGAGCCTGGAAAGGTGAAGAGGTCCTGGCCTCCGCGCTTGCGGAGGCGGTCCCCAGCAGGCTGCGCCACCCACGCCGCCTCGCTCCGCCTTCCCGACTCCCGCGCCTCCCGCACCCCGGAGGCGCCTCCGCTTTTCAGCAACCCGCAGCGAGCGCAGCGCGCAGGTAAGGTCCGGATCCGCGCGCAGGGGTGGGATGGAGCAGGCTGCGGGAGGCCGGGAGCGCGGAGGGAAGGACTCGGCACAGCTTCCCGCAGAGGGCCCCAGCCAGGAGCCGAAACCCGGGGGAGCTGGGCACTGTCATCTGGCAGGGACAGGACACCGCGTCACTAAGCATCCCAAGACCTGCAGATGCAGGGGACGGGCCAACTCCCGAGTCCCCACCCAGATCCCTAGGGCCTGACAGCTGTCTGTGGGTGTTCGGCTCCCGGAGCTGGAGACACCCCGCGGGTCTTTAAGAGTGACTGCATGCTGGCAGCCACCAGCACACACCAATGCGAACTGGCTTTTCTGGTGTGCTTTGAAATACAGCCCAGCCCGAGCCTTGTGAATATTCCTAAGAGGGGGTTCGCTCTACCCTGGTGCTGTTCACAGGTGGAGCGACCTACAGGAGAAAAGAAGAAAAAAAGAACACACATGCGTTCACGCACACTTTTGGAGTTTTATTTTCAAAATTACTCTCTAGCTAAAGTTTTAACCAATCCACTCTTCCAGCTTTACATTTGGGGAGAGGACGCTAGGGCTGGAGTTCCAGCTTCCTTCAGTCTCTGAAGTTCTGGTTTGACTACAGTTTCTAAAGCAACTTCGATTTAGATGACGTTGTGTTCAATATTAATACATTCACGTTTAGCCACACTCTCACTCTGTATTCTCACCCCTACAGCCCAGAGAGACGATGTTTACCGTGGTGACCCGCCAGCCATGTGAACAGGCAGGTAAGTGTCGCTCACTGGATGCTAGGCTAGCCTGGTTTTGTCAGATCCGGGGAGAATCCCAGCTTTGGTTCATAGCTCTCCATCCGTATCTCCTGTGAATGGCTGTTTATTTTTGTTCCGAGACTTCGTGTCTCACCTGAGTTTCACCCTTGGCATTCTTCAGATAAAAGTAATGCTTTTCCACAAAGCCACAGGAAACAAGGGCTAACACGAATGTTTGGCTGAAATGGTTTTTCCTGTTTGTATAATCCATTATTTTGGTTCTTGTGGTTTCCTTAGCTAGCTATGTGTAAGGTTTGTGTTATGTACTGTGTTATGGGTTTGTGTTATGTATTGTTGACGTGGGGATGAATCCTGACAGAGTTGGATCATCCTGAGTACTATAATAGGCTGCACAGGACCACCTCTGCCATCTGTCTCTGTCTCATCTGTTTTCTCTCTCTCCCCCCCCTCCTCTCTTTATCTCTCTCTCCCTCCCTCCCTCCCTTCTTCCCTCCCTCCCTCTCTCCCTCCCCCACCTTCCCACACCCACACACTTTCAAACCTGCTCAGCTTGGCTGCCTGCTGCCTGGCTTTCCAGCTCCCCAGCTCCCCAGTACTTCTCCCCTCAGCTATTCCTGCGGAGGTGAGAGAGAGGGGGCGTCCACTAAGCTAGCCCTCACCTCCTCTCTAGGCTCCCGTAGGCACCTGCAATTAACACAGTTTGCCCAGCCCTCCCTACGCCACAGCTCTAGGCTGCATTTCTTCGTGAATGAGACCTAGCCTGGTCTGTTCACTTTGTAATAAGCTTTTTTGCTGGGTAAGTGTTTGCCTGAAGGTAATCACAGCTTTTGACTTGGAAAGTGCTGAAGCTGGAGATCCCAGAGGCCAGCCCCTGGCTGTGGTCAAGAGACTGCTTACATTCCACACACCCCTGCCCTTGAAGAGGCTCCTTAGCTATGCCCTAAACTGCTGATTCTTGGCTTCCAAAAGGGTCTGATTTGTGGACATAAAGACCAATTTATACTTGTATTTTTGGAAAGAGCGACTGTACTAAAGAAGATGGTTTGTATTGCATTGCATGTTTCCCCCAAAATACACTGGAATTTTAACAGACAGGGTAACATTACACATATAAGCTAATCAGTTACATTCTTTCCAAAGGAAGATTAAATTTGGCAGATTGACACTATTAGGTCTTGTTGGGTGGGTGTGGGGGGAATGCCTTAAACCTCTGTGATTGACACCCATGTGGTTTGAAAATAGGTGTAAGCTCATCTTTGCATATTCACTGGTTCCTGGCTGGCTGGGGAATTTTTATTCAGAAGCACAGAGAAGTGACCCAAGGCCCCTCTGATGCTCTGAGGGTCAACGCCACAGGGTTAGGCTCTCCTCCAGATCTATGGCTGCTTGTGAGATGAGTTACCTCACACTTACGGGTTAAGTTAAGTGGGGTGGGTTTCCGAAGTGTAATTTGGGGTCAGGTGGTAAGCTTAGAATTTTGGTGAATATTGATAAATCATTTTCCATGAATACCATACCTGTTCATACTCCGACAAGGGAGGAGAAGGTGTTAAGCACCCACCTTTGATATCAAGAAGTGTCTGTCATTTGTCCTTATTAATAGGCAGAAGGGATTGGCTCTTCTGAGGAGGCCACCCCACCCTCCTCTGACCGCTTTACAGGCAGTGAGCAAAGAGATGCAATTGGATATGGGGCTGTGTCTAATTTGATTACGGTGGTGCATGCAGCCATTGTTTTCTTCCAGGAAAAAAAAAAACATAGAAATAAAGAGGAAGTAAATCATAGGCTTCAGAGTCATAAGAGGAATTCTGGAATAGGGCTGAATGCATCCATGGTTGGGGAAGGGTTGGGGTGGTGGGAATGAGCTGAAGGCCCTCATCCGGAATCCACAGGGCCGCCAGAGGGACTGAATGCTTGAAGACAGCTGAAAAGTTGAGTGTTTGTTCTAAATACTTTGCACTTAAACAGCCAATTTAAAGAGAAATATTGATATTTTCTTATCTTCAATTATGATATCACGTTTCAGCCATTAGGTACTTTTTTTTTGTATTTATGCCTTAGAGGTTCTACAAAGAGTATTATTTAGACAAGGTTTGTTTGTTAGTTTGGTTTTTTTAATATGCAGGTTCTTATGTAGCCCAGGCTGACTTTGGACTTTCTCTGTGGCCGAGGCTGGACTTGAACCCCAGATCCCTCTGCCTCTGAGCCATCCACCTTTGGAGTGCTATAAACGTAGGCGAGTAGTGTCAAGCCCAGCCAACTTCAATGAACTAGTTTCTATATTTGTAAGACTACATGTAATTGATAGAAAGAAAATTGATAGACCTTAAGTTATACTCCCAAATTGGGTAGTCTCACCTTCTCAAAGCTGAAACTTAATGTTTTAAGATTGTGTATGGAATTCGTTCATTTATTTGAGACAGGGCCTCACTATGGAGCCCTAGCTGACCTGGAACTCACTATGTAGACCAGGCTAGCCTTGAACTCACAGAGATGCACCTGCCTCTGCCTACCAAGGTTCAGGTGCCACCAGGCCCGGCATGTTTGCAATAATCAGGAATTACAAAATACAAAAGGTGAGTTGTACCGAAGAAACTGCTTTGCCTTGCTTTTAGAGTTTGCCCCCAAAGGATTTTGAAGGACTTGTGGAGTTTTGACAAATGTGGGTGGGCACTGTCACCCCCATAATCCTGTTAATATGTAGAGCACACCAATCACTGCAGAAAATGCCCACCTTCCCCCTCTCACCGGGAAGCCCCTGCCCAGACCTTCAGGGGCTCCCTCTTCCCGTTTGTGTTAACTACTTGCTTTACAGCTTTGTAGAAACAGCGTCATTTTCACTAGCCAAGATCCACCTTTCTAACTTCTTTCACTGAAATTAAGAAAAGGATTGTATCCTGCTTTAGTAGAAAACCCAGATTTTCAATCTGCACTTAAAATTCCATTTTGCATTTACATATTTATTTTCATGGACGTGTGTGTGTGTGTGTGCGCGCGTGTGCATGCGTGACCTGTGTGTGGCGGTCAGAGATCGACTTTAAGATGTGGCTATGCTTGGCTCCTCACTGCAGGCTTCAGGGCCCTCTCGAGGACTCCAGCCATCGTCACCTTGGTGGTCCTGCTTGTGAGCATTGTGGTACTTGTGACACTTACACTCATCCAGATCCACCACCCACAGGTTCTCCCTCCAGGGCTGAAGGTAAGCCAGAACGTCTGTCCGTCTGTCCGAAGCATCAGCCATCCTAAAACCACAACTTAGGGGAGGAACTCTCCCTGCCTCCACTGGAGAAAGCAGTGTGAGACCCAAGGAGGAGGTCTGGGGCTACTGGGTTTGTGATGTTCAGGGTGTATATCAACCATTGGTACCTTGTCCAAGGGCTGTGTGGCTTTGTTTCACTTCTGACTATTGGATACAAAATAGAATCTGTACCCAAGAATTACAGATCTTGTTCACTTCCCACTCTGACCAGTTTATAAGTTCCTGGAAACTGTGCAGTCTGACTGAGTGAACAGCGGGAGATACCGGTTCCTGGTTTTAAGAGTGTTGAGAAACCTTGAGCCATATTTGTGGTCTAAGGTCTTCTCTTAGGTCTAGGGCATATGTGGGATCTCTCCAATCCCCCTGCAAAAATCACTGAGGACTTTAGCATGTAGGTCCAGAGACCTCTCTGACTTCAGCCCCAAGTAGCCTTGTTGCTTGCCTGCTGGCCTTTACTCTGAGATGGATGGTAGAGCAGGGCTTAGGCCTTGAAAGAAAGTGATGGTCACTGAGCCCTTCAGTCAATTTGGAAATCAGTCAGCAAACATTTTACATAATTCCCTAAACGGTGGTATTTTAGGCTCTGGCAACTATTCAGAGCCACTGGGCCTGGGGCTCATTAAACATGCATGAAGTCTTGTTAGCTAGAGGAGGCTCCACCAGGAGCCCAGCCACTTCTGTATGTTATGTGACGCTCCCGTGACCTCACGTCTTCTCTTCATCTTCCTGCCACCAGCAACTGCTCAAAGGTTGTGTTTGGAGTAGACACTTTCAGAAAACAAGGAAGTAACATTACCTGGAGTTCCATGACTTTGTCTGGTATTCTGAAGGACTGACATAAGACCTTTTCATTCTGATGTTTTGTTTGTTTCTGAGTTATGGTTTCATTACACACCTCTGGCTGTCCTGCTATTTAAACCAGTCTGGCCTTGAATCCCCAACGATCCACCTGCCTCTGCCTCGATAGTACTGAGATTAAAGGTGTGGAATATTTTACTTAAGAATCTCAGTGGCTAGACAGATATCTCAGTGGTAAAGAGGGCTTCCTGCTCTTGCAAAGGCCCAGAGTTCAGTCCCCAGGGCCCGTGTTAGGCCACCTACAACCTCCTATAACTTCAGCTCTAGAAGATCGGGTGTCCTCTTTTGGCCTGCAAGGGTACCTGCACTCACAGGCACCTACACCACACACGTGAATGTGCAATAAAAAAATAAAACAAAATGATTTTAAAAAAAAAAAACTCAGTTCTTATGAAGAATGTAAAAGGAAAAAAAATTTTAACCTAAGCCATAGGCCAGTGATGAGCCGTTCTGCCCAAGGCATCAGCTGAGGGGAGAGAAGCTGTTTTTCTGTGGTTCACGCTCTGCCTTTTTCTCCAAACCATGAATAATCTGGACTGCAGCTATCATACCCTGTCTTCACACTACATACGTTCTGCTTGGTTTAGTGAGCACCGCCCCCCCCACCCCCCAGGGATCTGTCTCTTTTAACCTTTATGTCAACTGCAGAGATGGCAGAACCACCACTGGTGACCCCTGTTTTGCAGGCGAAGGGGCAGACATTTGTCTAGTGATTTTGTTCTAGCAAGACTAGAACTAAAATCAGCCCTAGCTTCTCACAGCCAGGCTCTCTTCCCCCCTCCAGCTTCTCCTGACCCTGAGTTCTAACCGGAGACCCCGGGGAGGAGGGCTCAGCCTCAGGGGAGAGCTGTCCTACATTGCTTTCTAATGCTATAATAAAAAGACAATGACCAAGGGCTGCCTGGAGAGGGGTGGTACTTCAGCTTCCCGTCTACCCTGAAGGGAAATCAGTACTGGAGCTCAAGATGGGACCCTGGAGGCAGGAACAGAAGGAGAAGCCATAGAGGAACGCTGTGTATTAGCTTTCTCCTCACGACTTGCTCCCCATGGCTTGCTCCTGATGACTTGCTCAGTTTGTTCGTATAAGCGTGTCCTTACACACCCCAGGACCATCTGCCTATGAGTAGCACCGCCCACAGTGGGCTGGGCTCTCAGACATTAGTCTACAACCAAGAAAAAGCTCAATAGACATACCCACAGGCTAGTCTGATGGAGGCAGTTCCTCAATTGAGGTTTTCTCTTCCCAGATCACTCTGGGAAGTTGTGTCAAGTTGACAAGAAGACAATGAATCCAGCCAGCACCAGAGCTCAAGATGCAAGGCTGGGAATTGGGGGGAGGCACTGGTTCAGGAAGCCTTGTAGAACTGGGGGATGGGAGGGGAAACTGAGACCACCTTAGAACACTGTAAATAGAGCCGCACACCTGAGCCCCACATTTCAAAAGGACCAGCTCTAACTGGGCTTCAAGTTTGCCTCTCTCTATAGACGAGGGGACAGGCCTACCCTGAGCCTACGCCCCGCCCCGCCCCCCCTTCTAGAGCATGCTGTGGTTCTGATCCTCAGAAGTCAGGGTCTCAGAGCGTGGTCACTGGCTTAAGAGGTGGACAAGGTAGCTACTTGCAGGAGTTGGAGCCGAAACCTCCTGTCAGCTAATGGCGTGTACCATTGTGACGTCACTGCGTAGTATTCACCGCGCATGCGTTTGCGGCGATACTGGTGCCAGCAGACACTGGGGTGTCAGCTAAGTAAAAGGACAGTGTGATGCATGCTAGCGTTAATAAATGACCATGTTGCTGGCTTGCGTATTTTTATACTTGCTTTATTATTATGGGGTGTCTCATTACTATTTACTAAACAGCTGGCAAGATTACGTATACCTATAATCCCAACACCCAGAAGCCAAAGCCAGCGCTGGCTACATCCTGTCAGAGAAACAGAAACAGAAAGAAAGGATTTTCAATCCATTTGGAAATAGATGCTGGCCCTGGCCACGGTTGCAGGGCACAGGAATTGGCCCGGTTCTGATGGTCATTTTGCTTGAGTGGAACTAAATGTAAGCACACAGATGCTCTGAGCAGCAGATGCTGGGACAAATGACTGACAGCCGGTTGAGGGAGTTCCACCCGCAGCTTTGCTTGGGGTTAAGAGCTCCGTGTTTTGGTTTTCTGCGGCATGCCAGGGGCGGGGTTAAGAGCTGCAGGAGTCCAGTTCAATGACTGAGAGCCTTTTAGCCTCGATGATATTTACGTTCTCATGCCGCAAGCCCTATTTCGCTTGTGTGCAGCTGGCTGTGGGTTCTGAGGCACCAGCTTCTCCCACGCGCCTGCAAGGTTTGTTACTCCCCCCTACCGTGAAAGGCTATGACACCTGCTCTTAAATCCAGCCTTGACTTGCCTGACCTTGACTGGTGCAAACTTAACAGCAGGGCCATTAAGAAAACCTCAGTCGGGGTCAGAAATATCCCCAGTTCCTTGTGTTACTGGTCTGACCTGCTCCGCAGCCTGGAGAGTAAACATGATGTCATCACTTTTGGTTGCCACTCAAGCTCCCACCTGCTCTACTACCACGAATTCCAAAATCTTCCCTTGGAGGGTTTTCTCTCTCTCATCAGCATGCCCGTCTATGTTTGAAGCTTCTCCGCCTGTTCCCAATAGCCCGGTGGGTGCCATTTCTCCTTATAGCCACTGGTTATTCACCATTGAAGAGGGTCCTGTAAGGGTTCAGGGGTGGGCTTTCCTCTGTGAGCTACTCAGGTCTGTTGGGTAGAAGACCACAGGCTTCTTAGTTCACATGTCCATCCTCTACTGATGTTCCCAGAAGTACAGTCACTGAGTAAGGCTGGGTGAAAGTCATTCCTGTTAGCCCTCATGGAGCCTTGCTCAGTTGCCTAGGTGATGGCACCTTGTGGCCCATGCTATGCTAATTTTGAGGCGGCAAGAAGTGGATGACTGATTCCTCCCAATGTAAAAAGTCCTGGATTCCTTCCTAATACAAGCCGGTCCATTTTCCAGACGGTTTTGCATGCTCCGCGGGTACAGTTTGAGGGGATCTTTTGTTCAAACAAAGGCAGTATATGGACAATATTAGACCTGTTATCCCACAGTGTCCCAAAAAACGTGGTTTCCTAGGACTCTGAAAGCCTGGAGACTCTAAGTATAGACAGGTCTGAGCGTTAATGAGGCTTAATGTCAGGGCTGTTCTCATGTGTCAAGTAAGATGGTGATTATGGCAGCCTTATGAAGGCAATAAAGCTTGTTAAAGCACCTGGTAAAGTTAGTTCCCAGTGTGCATCTGCCCAGGAGTCTGTGAGTGCTAAGAAGAAATCTAAGATGGCTGACCTATGACCTGTCACCTATGCTTCTCTTTTTGGCAGAAGATCACACAGTATTCAAGTGTTGGACCACAGGCTTGTGAAAGACTGTTCTAGTCAGGCAGCAGTGGCTTACACCTTTAATCCCAGCACTCAGGAGGCAGAAGCAGGCAGATCTCTGAGTTCAAGGCCAGCCTGGTCTACAGAATACGTTCCAAGACAGCCAGGGCTACATGGGAAAAGGAGAAGGAGAAGGAAGCAGAGGAAGGTCTATTCCCTTTATTTTTATTTTTATTTTTATTTTTATTTTTATTTTTATTTTTATTTTTATTTATTTTGAGCCAGTGGCTCTGTGTAATTTGGGCTGGTCTGGAACTCACAGTGATCAGCCAGTCTCTGCCCCCTGAGTGCTGGGTTAAGGGCATATGCTGCTATGCCTAGTGGCACACACTGCATGTATCACGAGAACCACATTCAAACCATGCTTCTTTTTGACTGCACACTGAACAGAGGGTTGCCGATGGCTGGCTTTAGCACCCATGTGGTGAGTAAACTGTTGGGGGTCAGTGCTTAGAGCCACTGATGGGGGTGGATCCAGATACCTACAGGGGCTGCTGGCAAAGGCAGCAACAATTAGAGAAGTTACTCAGCAGACTTTGATGAAACAAAGAATAATTTACTGGGGCTGGCACTCCCTGTAGCCATCGGAAAAACTATGAACTCTTTTAACTCCTTGAGGCTGGAGAGAAAGAGAAGGAAAGAGAGAGAACAC